TGATTCTTCTTTATGATTTCAATCTCTTTTGTGAAGTAACTCCAGAACTCGGCTTGTTTCTCTTTCTCTCTACCTCATTGAGTTTTTTGATTATAGCTGCTCTGAATTCATTATCACTTAGTTTACCTAATTCCAAGTTCTCAGGACTTAATTCTGTGTTTTTATTGTTTTCCTTCTGGTCTGGGGCTTTTATAAATTGCTGGATGGTAGAGGAGAGGTTTTTCTCATGGTGGTAGAATTCAGTTGCAGTTACAGTCTGTCGCCACTAGATGGGGGTCGAGAGCGGCGTGTTAGCTCTCCGCCTTCGGGGCAAGATGGCTGCGCCCACTGGCTTTGTTAGGGGGGAGGGGCTGTTACTCACATGCCCCGGTCTGGGTTCAGATCAGTTCTGTTCTCTGGTCTCCCAAGGCCCTTGATTTATAGGGTCCCCACGGACGGAAGCTTTCCCCCCCGTCAGCGGGTCTCCACTGAACCAGCAGCAGGAGTCCTGGATGATCCCTGGTCGCGCGGCCCCTCCTCCGCTCCTTCCCGACCCGCGCTGCAGCGATCACAGACTCTAGGGGAGGGAGCGTTGTTCCCTCCTACCGTTCCAGTGCCTCCAAAGGTGTAAAGCTAGGTTTATGATCTCCTCCTTCTTGGTATTGTAGGTCTCTAACGAGCTGGCATTATGTTTATTCTCTGAAATTCAGTTCTTCCAATCTTTTGTTGTATTTTGGAGGGGAGAGAATCCCAGGTCAGCTCACCCCGCCATTTTGCTCCCTGCTTTTTTCTTCATTGTGGTTTTTAATGGCATTTCCATAATGACTAATGATGCTGAGCTTCTAGTGGTATGACTCTTTGCCATCTGTATGTCTATTTGGGAAAGTGTTCAAATCTTTGCCCATTTTTTACTGAGTCGTTTGATTCTTTCTTATTGAAGTTTGGGAGTTCTATATGTATTGGACACAAGATTTTTATCAGATATGTGATTTGCAAATATATTTTCCCAGTGTGTGGCTTGTCGTTTTACTCTCTTAACAGTATCTTTAAAGAAAAAGGAGTTTTGAGTTTTGATGAAGTCCCAGTTTATCAATTGTTTTCATTAATGGATTTTTCCTTGTATCTAAGAAGTTATGTAAATGGGCCAATGATGGTCCCTATGTATTGGCCTAAACTGGCCTCCATTTTGTTTACTTCTTCACAGCAGGCTAGGATCTTTAGCCCAAAGTCCACTGGTGCCAAATTCAAATTATTATGGATCCAATTGCTTTAAATATACTTCAAACAAACGTATGTGTAGCCATTTAGAGGCTGCCTACTTTGCGTGTCCCACAAAGATGCACCCAACACCTGCTAACCGTAGATAGGACAAAGCCTGTAGCGATAAAATATCCCTGACTGCTACTGCCCTCTGGAGTTCACTGACCCAGAGACTCCCGCCTTGCTGCTGTGGAGGATCAGAATTGGCTACCCCAAAATGCGTCTCTCGGGTCATAGCAAACACTTGTTTAACAAACATTTGCATTTCCATCTCCATATAAATTGCTTTCCTCTCCTTTGAAGACCGAAACACTACCCCCGACATCCTCCTTTGTCTTTAGCTGAAGATGGTATTTAAGGTGGTGGTTTTGGCCATTCTAGAGACTTGCGCAGTTTTCCTGGGTTTCTGCCACATATCTGTGTTACTAAACTTTGATTTTCTCCTGTTATTCTGTCTCATGTCAATTTATTTCTTAGGCCAGCCAGAAGGACCTAGAGGGTAGAGGAATTGGCTTCCTCCCCATACTGCTGAGCACCATCTCCCAGACACGTGAAGGCCCCTCTCCCATTTCCCCTTCTCTCCTGGGAGGGCCCTTACTTTAGTCCCTTTCTGGGTGGTGGCCTTGTGCCCATGTCTCTGGAAGGTCTCTTCCTGGGAGGGACTTCTCCTCTCATGCAGCCCTGTCCAAGTGCTGCTCAATAAAGCTTTTGTGTTCCTGCCTCTCGTGGTCCTGTCTCTTCCTTGGTCAACCTCGAAATCATCAAACTTACCACACTAGCTCAGAGTAACAAAGACTTTCTCCTATGCATTCTCCAAGAAGCTTCATAATTTTGGTTTTGACATGTGGGTCTGTGATCCATTTTGTGTTGTTTTTTATATGGAGCAAGGTTTGGATTAAACAGTGCTTTTCGCATGTGGCTATCCAGTTGTTCCAGATCTAATTGTTGAAAAGACTGTCCTTTCACCTCTCATCTTTTGCATCTTTCTCGATAATCAGTTGCCTGTGTATGCATGTATGTGTGGGTCTATTTCTAGACTCCTCTGTTCCATGAAT